GCTTCTTGCATCTTTCTAGTAATAAACTCTAAGTTCCTTCCCCTCTTCCATATTGCTCCATCATCAACAATAAGAGAAAAACCCATCCCAGTATTTTCATTTTGAAACACATCATTTATCATTGTAAAGAATAAAGGACTTATTATACACCCTTGTGGTGTCCCATTTTCAACAATATATTTCTCAGAATAATGGTTTCCTATCCTTACTTGTATTTTTCTTCTGGTAAAAAAATAGTTTATTCATCTGTACATCCATCCTGTAATTTCTAATTTTAATTAATAAACCTTCTTTCCACGTCATATCTTATGCTTTCTCAATAAAAATAAAAAAAAACACTGCTACAATATTTTAACTTGGGCTTTTCTGATTTCAAATTCCAAACTTAAAACTGAATCCATGGTGTTTCTACCTCTCCTAAAACCACTTTGATATTGTGACATATATCCTTTTGATTCTATATAGTAAATCAACCTGTCATTAATCATTTTCTCCATTATTTTGCGTATATTAGACGTTAATGCAATCGGTCTGTAATGTTCTGGGTTTGTGTCATCTTTGCCTGGCTTGCGTATTGGTATTATCACTGCTTCTTTCCAACTCAATGTCTTCACCGGCCTGTATGTTCATGTACAGGTTCTTCTCAAAAAATTAGCATATTGTGATAAAGGTCATTATTTTCCATAATGTAATGATAAAAATGAAACTTTCATATATTTCAGATTCATTGCACACCAACTGAAATATTTCAGGTCTTTAATTGTTTTAATACTGATGATTATGGCATACAGGTCATGAAAACCCAAAATGCCTGTCCCAAAAAATTAGCATATTTCATCCCACCAATGAAAGACAAGTGTTTTTAATACAAAAAACACCAACCTTCAAATAATCATGTTCAGTTATGCACTCAATACTTGGTCGGGAATCCTTTTGCATGAATGACTGCTTCAGTGCAGCGTGACATGGAGGCAATCAGCCTGTGGCACTGCTGAGGTGTTATGGAGGCCCAGGATGCTTCGATAGCGGCCTTAAGCTCATCCAGAGTGTTGGGTCTTGCGTCTCTCAACTTTCTCTTCACAATATCCCACAGGTTCTCTATGGGGTTCAGGTCAGGAGAGTTGGCAGGCCAATTGAGCACAGTAATACCATGGTCAGTAAACCATTTACCAGTGGTTTTGGCACTGTGAACAGGTGCCAGGTCGTGCTGAAAAATGAAATCTTCATCTCCATAAAGCTTTTCAGCAGATGGAAGCATGAAGTGCTCCAAAATCTCCTGATAGATAGCTGCATTGACCCTGTGCTTGATATAACACAGTGGACCAACACCAGCAGATGACATGACACCCCAGTGACTGTGGAAACTTGACACTGGACCTCAAGCAATGTGGATTCTGTGTCTCCTCTCTTCCTCCAGACTCTGGGACCTTGATTTCCAAAGGAAATGCAAAATTTACTGTAATCAGAGAACATAACTTTGGACCACTCAGCAGCATTCCCAGGCGAGATGCTTCTGACGCAGTCTCTTGTTCAAGAGTGGCTTGACCTGGGGAATGTGGCACCTGTAGCCCATTTCCTGCACACGCCTGTGCACGGTGGCTCTGGATGTTTCTACTCCAGACTCAGTCCACTGCTTCCGCAGGTCCCCCAAGGTCTGGAATCGGCCCTTCTCCACAATCCTCCTCAGGGTCCGGTCACCTCTTCTCGTTGTGCAGCGTTTTCTGCCACACTTTTCCCTTCCCACAGACTTCCCACTGAGATGCCTTGATACAGCACTCTGGGAACAGCCTATTGGTTCAGCAATTTCTTTCTGTGTCTTACCCTCTTGCTTGAGGGTGTCAATGATGGCCTTCTGGACAGCAGTCAGGTCGGCAGTCTTACCCATGATTGCGGTTTTGAGTAATGAACAAGGCTGGGAGTTTTTAAAAGCCTCAGGAATCTTTTGCAGGTGTTTAGAGTTACGTCGTTGATTCAGATGGTTAGGTTAATAGCTTGTTTAGAGAAACTTTTCATGATATGCTAATTTTTTGGGACAGGCATTTTGAGTTTTCATGAGCTGTATGCCATAATCATCAGTATTAAAACAATTAAAGACCTGAAATATTTCAGTTGGTGTGCAATGAATCTGAAATATATAAAAGTTTCATTTTATCATTACATTATGGAAAATAATTACCTTTATCACATTTACACATCCTCACTCTCTCTGCGTACACCAGTATATCCTCTAATAACAAAGTCTAAAGTTGGTTTGAGCCAAGTTTCCTGAATACATATTTGTTTTTTGTAAAGATTTTTAATGAATACTTTAAATTCTTGCCTGTTTGCGATTAAACTTGAATCGTTCCACTGTAGAATAATCAGTGTCCCCTCTCCTCATGTCCCTGACTTCCCATTTCCCCCAGTTCTTAGGCTCCCATGAAATGTCTTTTATACCAAATAATTTCTCTGCTCCTTTAACTATTATTTTAATGTTCTCTGTTTTGTACTTTACCTGATCTGCACAGTTAATCACATACGAAATAAAAACACGATCTTCTCCACTGTAATTGTAGGTTCAGTTATCTCTCTTGGTTTCATCTGGAATGTTGAGTTTTGTCGTTCACAACGGTGGAAGTAACGAATTACAAATACTCGCATTACTTAATTAAGTAGAATTTTTTTGGGTACTTGTACTTTTATGAGTATTTCTTTCAAGTGTGTAATTTTACTCATTCTTAAGTACAATTTAGTGATGTACTTTGCTACTTTTAAAATCAGAAGTTGCTACTGAGTACGGTTCAATTGGAATCAATATTCAAACCGTTCATCTTTGTAGCCAGAAACGCTCTCAGATCACAAATGCACCATTTACCTATGACGTAAAGGACAACTCCGTAGAGCAGAGAGTCAT